AGGAAGGGAGAGCCCTGAAACCTTGGCTGCTGCAATATAGGCAGCAGCACCCAGGTGGGAGCCCAGGGACTGCATGTTAATTCCTCTTGGGCTGCATGCTCCCCACAGGCTACCAGCTGGGCATACCGATCTAGTAAAGAAATGCAGTTTCCCTCAACCAAAGGTTAATGCCTGTCCCATGAAGTTCAGTTCAGAATTAATCATTTTTAAATCTTTTGTGTTGCATGTTAAATCACTGTGGAAGAAAACAGCCTACAAGTATGTTTAACTGATTATATGCTTGTAAGGAATCATTTGAGAAATGAATAATATGGAAAAGTCAGAGTAAACTTCACAAACAACATTACAAAATGACCAAAAAAACCCAGTTATTGAAGGAGATGTGGGATGTAAACATAGAATCACCCAGTAAAGCAGGGGTGCTCGAACTCTTTCCCTGCCAAAAAGCCCCACTGAAGTACCCAGTCTATAAGGATGTTGTGAAGCCAGGTCTAAATAATGTGCTGCTTCTTCCGGTAAAGAACTTTTTGTTTGTTTGTTTTGTTTTTTAACATTTGCATGCAGCCTGCTTGCTCATCTGGCCTGTATGGCTGAATGTTGGGCACCACTGCACTAGAGAAACCTAGTGGCAAGGTCTTGCCAAGAAACCAAACTCAGTCCCCCAGTTTTGGACCCTACACTTCAAGAAAGACAGATTGGAAAGAGACCAGCAGAGGCCTGAAAAGCATGATTTAGGAGGAAAATCTGAAAGAAGCAGGGTTATTTAGTCTGGAGAAGAGAAGGATGAGAGGGTATTTTATAAGTCATCAAATACCTGAATAGTGATCATAGAGGATCAAGATAGGCTTTTCTCTGAGGCTGTAGGGGACAATTAGGAACAATGGCTTTATGCTGCAGCACAGGAAATTTAGCTTGGACTTTAGGAAGAAATTTTTTACTATTATGGTGGTCAAGCATTAGAACAGGCCACCTAAAAGCAGTTGTGGAATCTCCATCCCTGGGAATTTTTGAGAGCAGGTTAGACAGACACTTGGCTAAGATGGCTCATTTAGAGATGCGTCTGCCTTAAACAGGTCCCTTTGAACCCTGTTTTCCTATGATCCTATGATTTTATGTGGCAAATCATGAATTACTAACACTCCTATCAGATAGTAGCCAGACTGTTCTCCTTTTTATTCAGATAGCCAGGGGGCAAACTTAGGTGGAGTTTGGTACATTTGTATCTTTCAAAGAACTCCCTAATAACTCTAACACTTCTTCCAGAAACTCCAGCTACTTACAGGATGCAGTAATTCATTGTTTGTCGCTTCCTTCCACCAGTCTGGGTCCTGCCTGCAGGAAGGGAAAGGGGAAGGAAATTACTTTGCTAGACTCTCTCCAGCCTTTGTTTTCTACATCATCCTAGCTCAGTAACTTCTTCAGGCATCTCTGTAGCAGTAGAAACTTCATCAAACACAAAAACAAAACTGATCACAGACTTGTTATTTAACCCTGATGTTACCTAGCAGATCTGTACAGAAAGTAGAGCTGTTTGAGTGTCAGCAAGAGATTAACATTGATTTACATCCTATGGATTAGAACTAACAAACCTTGTTTCCTGTTGGTTTATTTGTAAATGAAAGCTAAAATTCTCTGTAAATTGTGCTCATACCCTGCAGGATGTTTCAGCTAGCCACTGGTGAGCAGATTTAATGCCCTATGGTACAGCCATTGACTATAACAAAATACTAAATTGAAACACTTTTAGTTTAAACAGGCTTTATGGTAGATATTGTGCTATTCCCTTTTCTTTCATATTTTCAAATGTGAATATTCAGTTCACATTATCAAATATCTGAGATACAGTCTTATGGGAATTTGGGATTGAAGGGAATTTGCCATTGATTTATATAAATGGCACAATTTTAAAGATGCAAGTTAAAACAATATAGGGCAGTATTCTGACCTGTGGTGCTTCCCATGGGTCTGGAAATTTGGCAGCAATTAATGCAGGCACCCCTCCAAATTTCAAGATCCTTGTGGAGCTCTGCAGACAAACTGTCATCCCTGTGCTAGTGTGTCATTCAGTGTTAATCTCCTTCAAAATTGTTTTTTTGTGACTGTCTTGCAATGTTTTTTGTTAAGTTTACTCTGACTTTTCCAACTGATTATTCATATAAGCACATTTCTCAAATGATTCCTTGCAACCAGGTAATTAGTTAAACATACCTGTAGGTTTTCTTCCACAGTGATTTAAAATACTTAACAAAAGATGCAACAGTAATTAATTTGGAATTGAACAGTCTAGGTAAGACCGTACCCCATAGACTTTTTTATCAGAGTACTTTATCTCCTCCTGTATGTTCTGGTTATTCTGCACCTTTGGTAAGCAATGTGATAAATAGCCAGCAGAGTTTACATTCTCTTTCATCCTCTTCTCAAGGGCAGAATTATGTGCAGAGCACAGTGTTTTGATGGTGGTGGGGGTGTGGCATTCAGTGAGCAAAGGCAAATTTGAAATGTGCCTTGTACATTAGATGATGCTGTGATAGCCCTTAGTTGCTGTGGGAGCTGGTTTCACAATTTCTGTTTGGTCCCTGAGAGAACCATCCTTTGGACAAACAAACGTTATCCTTTTTTTAGGACAAACTTTGCCTATGGAATTGTGGAGAGATGTAGCTGGTTCTCCAGAATTGTGGATGCTGTTTTAGAAATGCCAAACTCAGCCAACTGAGCATCTTAAAGACAAGGACAAAGTCTTAGCATGTGACTCCCTTCTCTGGGAAGTCAATGTAGCAAGCAGAGGATAGGTTAAATGTGCCTTTGTTGCTGAAATGTGCTGCAGCAGTCTGTACTACTTGGAATTTCCTAAGGGCTGATGGCTTCATGCCTAGGTATATTGTATTGATATAGTCCAGACAAGATGTGCAGTGTTCCAGACCTACTCCTTGCTGCCTCCCCTTACTGAATGCTGTTATAAAAGCTATGGAATCTATAATTGGCCATAGATTTTATTGTATTCCATATATTTGTATTCCTGGGTTGAAACTCTTAGCATGCCTTATCAGGGATACCATTTCAACAGATTCTTCCTTATTTTGCTCGATGTCAGTAAAACTGTGGCAACCTGTGCTTTGTTAAACTGGATAGAAAATGCATCTGTAATGAGTTAATAGCAGATGCCATAGTCTGTTATGCTAGGCCTTTTAAAAAAAATTCAGTACATTTTTATCGTGGTTTGAAGTATCAAGAATAAAACAAAGTTGACAAAGACCAGCATACACTTTTAACAAAAATATTGTTTTGCTTTCAAATATTTTAATATGAACTGTGAGGTGAAAGGAATCAACACTGTATACAACATATGGTGGACTTGCCAAAAAAAAAAAATTTTTCCAGATTCATCATGCCGCGTCTCTGATTGGTTCTTCTTGGAAGTAAGAGTGATCAGTATGTTGGGTGCTAAAGTCAAGTTTTTTTGTGATCCACTGTGTTGCTCAGCTAGATCTGTGACATTTTTTATTTTAAGCCAGGCTTGGAGTTTCATTGTGGAAAGGATCACTTTCTAACATGTTTATTTGTAGTTCTTAAGTTTGCATGGCTAATTAATAAGAGTGGTTTGAATTCTAGGTTGTGTATGTCAGTTTATCAGTTTATGCCTTTTGCTTCTGTTAACTGATGCTCTGATGACAAATTCAGATACACACTGTGCCTTTTCTGGGAGCTGCAAATTATCTCATCGCAAGCAAGAGGATAGAACAATATCAACAGAAGCTGCCAGAATATAAGTTACTACTGCTTCTGGAAGTCTCAACTCTTTGGAAACCCTATGGCTTGAGGGGGCATACTGCCTACATAATAGACAAGGAGGAGACAATCAGGAGATATATTTCCACCCCACAAATTTAATCAGAACAGCAAACAAGGCTGCAAGATCTCTGCTGCAGATCTCAACATGCATTGAAGATGATGTTTTCCAGTGTGCAGTCTTTACTTGTACCCTGATCGTCTCCATCCTGCTGACCAGATGTGCTCATCTTTAGCTGTCTGCTATACTGCCTTACCTAGTCTTGTTTTGCAAACCCTCTGTTTTAAGATGGGCCTAGGTAAGGAGAACTAGAGCAGAGGGTAGAATTGTAAGCTTGTAGAAATGCAGGCAAAAGCAAAAAGAAACTCATTAGCCCAGGTGGCATCCGTCACTAACTCAGTTTTCAAGTGCTGTTTTCCTACGTCACCTTTGCTTTTTGGGCAGCCTTGCTTTGTTTTGGGTCAAGGAGAATTGATTCTCTGTCACGGAGGGAGGGAACAGTAGGTGCAATCCCTGTCCAACTTACAAATTTAGATCTTGCATCTTCTGCTAAACCATAATCCCAAGCATGGCTCTAGAGGGAAGAAAGGGGTGCAGCTGTTTGTTCACACCCTTTGGCTGTGTCACATGTGCAGTGAGCTCTCTGAGCTCACTAGCATGTCAATGGCAGCCCCTATTGGAGCTCTGCATATACTGGCAACTCTTGAGTTCACCAGTTGGTCAGCATGGAGTCTGCCCAGAGTCCCTGTTTTTTAAGCAACTCCAGAGCTCAGGAGGTTAGTGCAGTGTGTAGCTGATGAAGTGAAGCACATAGTGTACATGCATGTGTAGCATGGCAGGAGTGTGATTGTTGGGCTCAGAGATCAGATCCCAAGGCACCATTAAATGAATGCGTGCCAGGAGCCTTTGTTTAACTATCATTAGGTTGTAATGATGGTGGTAGAATGGCAACCTTTATTGGGTATTCTTACTTGTGAGTTCAGTGTGTTGCAAATACCTCTACATAGTTAACCTCTGGGGTGTAGAAAATATGTCTCACAAGCTGGATCTGGCTGTGGCAGGTCCCTTGGAGCCTCCTGGCCTAGGCACGGGGATTATCTTGGGATGTGGGCACACAGCGGGGCTGGGGCAGCACAGCACAGTGGCTGGACTCCACTTCCTGGCAGGCCTGTTGATGGTGGCCCCTTCTGGCACCTGCCAGTAGTGTCACCACCACCACTGGATCAGGCCCCACTGCCCGGGCACCGCAACCCCTCTGCCCCACATCTATTACCAGACGTGTCAGATAGAGCATGCGGGCAGAGGGTCCACGGAGACCAGCCTGGGACATACAGGCAGGGTGTGCTCAGCCAGGTGGATGAAATGGGGCTGAAGGAAAGCAGGGAGAGGCATCTGGGAATGGGTTGGCTGGGGCCAGGCCTCAGATCTTGGGCTGGTGGCAGCACAGGGCCAGGTCTATCTGTTAGATTAGATAAATTATTAGCTCTGATCTGACAATATGTATATTTCAGTACTATCTGATGTAGAAAACAAGCAACGGAAACTATTTATGAGTTCTTTTTGCATTATATCTAAAAAATGGAGTGGTGTCTTTTTTCTTTGAGTCATAGTGAGCTAAGTGAAGTTTTAAAAATTTCTGAGATTTTTAAAATGGAACTTGCCTATTCAGTAATGAAATGTGAAGAAGGGATTCATATTCATTAGACATATATACATAATTTCCTCTTAAAAATTAAATGTCTAAATAAGTTTATTTAATATTTTTCATGCAGTTGCTTTGCTATTGATGTTTTAATCTAAAAAAAATCCATCTGAGAAATATCTGACTTCTACTTGATTGATTGGTCTTTAATTGGAGAATACAAGTTATTTGTCAAAATAGTTTAACATTAGATTTTTACTTTTGAGGTTCTGGAATCTTTTTTATTCATACCCTCTTTTAAAAGTTGCTTTCTTTGTCAGTCTGTCATGAGAATGAAAACTTTTTTTTGATACTGTTTAATTTTTATCCAGTAAATATTTCTTAATATGTTATGTTTCAGTGCAATGCGTGTGTTGCTGTCCAAATTGCCACGACCATGGATTGTAGATGAAAAGAAAGATGATGGTTACACTGCCTTACATCTGGCAGCACTAAATAATCATGTAGAAGTGGCTGAACTTTTGGTGCATCAGGTAATTCTCTCCGCTAGGAAGAGTTAAATGTCACACATCTTTGCTTAAGCACCATGTATGAAAACAGTTTACTCCTTTAGGCAGATGCCTGCAAAAGTAGAGCTGGCGCGGCGGATGGCATGTGACTAGCTTTGTCATACTTGCCCTTTGTATCACCATGATTAAACTATGCCAATACTTTCCTGAACAAGTTTAACTCTTTAGAGCCAAATAATCTAATTTGTGTGAATAATAAGTAATTAACAGTTATCCCATTAGTGTATTTTTTTCCTTTTCCCTCTGCTAGTCAAATAGGACAAGCCAGGGGGCAGTTAACCAGCACCCTGAGTGGATTGCTGTAAGGTTAAGAATATTGAGTTTAACAGTATGGTTAAGGATGACTCCAACCGTTTTATAGCTTAATACATTTTTAATCAAGTCATTAAAACTGAAAATTACTTAAGAAGCCTGCAGCCTTTTTTTCCACTAAGGATGTACCTAGTACATTTAGAGAATTAAGACTGGCTTTACCTTCCTTTAGTTAATCCCATAATTTATACATGAAGAGCCAGGCTTTCATAATACTCAACACTTTATTGAATTCCTGTTTTTACAAAAAGGCTTCCTCCCATTTAGATGTCTGAAGACGCTCCTGGGCACTGCCCAGTGGTGCAAGGGATACCACTCTGGAGTCTAAGTATAAACCAGATACTCCTGAAAACTTGGCCCTTCCGCCCCCCACCCCCCCTTCTGCTTCTAAATCTCCTCTATTTCAGGATTTTACTGTATGTTCCAACTGGCTATGTTGCTTGCATACTCACTGTTGAAAATAAAAATATTGACTCTAAACATCTTTTTCAGGGCAATGCTAATCTGGATATCCAGAATGTGAACCAGCAAACTGCACTGCATCTTGCCGTTGAACGACAGCATACACAAATAGTTAGGGTAAGCTACGTATAATAAGCCACAAGTTAACTTTATTCAGCTTAAGTTGACTTTAGACAAACATACTTTATGAAGCAGAAAGATTGAAGATATATTTAATGTCCATTGCATTCTTCTAGCCCTTAAAATTTAAAGAGTGCATTCTTGGGTGTAGAAAAATCCCAATTTCTTCAAGTACTTCTCCATATGAACGCTACACTGATGGTGGGGAGGGAGAGGGGTGAGGTATTTCAGTTATTTAAGCTCTGTGACTTTTTTTGTCCTAGTTTTAGTACCATTCAGCAGATGCTCTGCCTCTCCCTGTTTTTTGCTGAGGGCATACAGGAAGGTGAGCTCTTTCCACTCCTTAGTTTTTTTCAGCTACCTTAACTCAAGATGGATTTTCCACAGACTTAAACAGACCATGTTTTTGTCCGCCATCTGCTCGTAATACCTATTCTTTCACCTTTTTGCTTGGATTTTAAAAAAGGACTTCTTGTTATCTTTGATCATCTCTGAGTACACAGAATGGGGCAGAACATTTGATCAAAGCATCTCTCAGTATTCCTAGGATTAAGACTTGAAGCAT